TTTCCTGTTGCTCTGTTGGTTTTATTTTACTCATTTAGTTTTGGGGCCTTCTAACTTTAAAAAATTCCTTCAACTAAGTTTATGAAAAAAGTGGTCTCTTTAACGCTTGGTAAATCCATTCATAATCACTATTTGTGTTTATGCTCTTCTTTTTCAAAATACAAACACAATTTTCTATATTAATCTGTCTTGATATCAAATATTTTAGTTGATTATCGATCTGTTTACTCTATTTGCATTTGAACTGTTCCAACTTACCCTGGGATCTAGCCATGATGCTTAATACCATTTTCCAGATTGTCATAATAATTTGCCATTTTCAAATAAAAACAAATCCCAGTGATAAAGATGGAGGAAAAATGATGATGATGCAATATGAAACTCTGGGGCTTCTTCATTTATAATTGAAGTACAGGTACTGAATGTGTATTGCAAGCATGTTTGCAAAGGGCTTCAGATACAGATATCTTTTCAAGTTAGGTTTCAGCTCTTGAAAACTGGGAGCCAGATTTTGGCTTCCCTCTATGTAACATGTGATGAGTTTCTCATTATAGAAAGAGTACATAGTATTGAATTTTCTTTAAGAACTGTGTTACTTCAGCAATCCCCCAACAGCAAGCTGACACCCTCAAATTCAAATCATCTGACTCGCACGGGGGGAACTTAAGCAGAAAGCCACTGTTTTGCCGACAAAAAAATATAAACATGTTGTTGGTGAGAAATTACCTTTTCTCAGCATTTGAAAGAGTCTTATAAACAAAGAGAAATCAGTGATGAAAAATGATACAAAAGTAGTCCACCATAGTGTTTTTTCAAATATTTACATTGCTTCTATTTGAAGAATAATTTGTTTCATTTAACCAGAGCCAGACTCTAAGGACTACAGTTATCCTCAGAGATTAATTACAGCCTTGGGGTTCTTAGAACATAACTTTTGAAAGCACAAGATCAAAAGGGGTAAAGAAAAAAAAAAGATGAGAAGGATTTACAGTTATCTCACTGATAACTGTTACCCAGTTCAGGTGTTTACCCATCTACTACCCATCACTGAATAAGGGAAAGTATGAGATAAATGACAGCAATATTCAGGTACAAGAGGCAACCAGAATGGAGAAATATATTGAGTCAGGACGCATGTGGGAGAATGTACAAAATGAAATAATTAGCTTTTTTAACCTGAGAGAGCATTATCTAGGAATCTTTAGGTCCTCCCATGCAACTCTACAGTCAACTTCCACCAAAAGTTGACCACATAATTCTGCTGGAGGATCTTGAGAGGTATTGTTTCTAGGAATCTCTAGGTCAACTTTAGGCAAATGTTGACTATAGTGTCACCCTGAAGGACCCAGAGAGCTTTCCAAACATTTCATGTTGGTGACATTTAACAGCACAGTAATTCGGTTTAATTTACTAGCAAGTTGAAGGTTAAACCAACCTCTTATAAAATATACAGACACATACATAAATTATAATATATATGAGGCACAACATACCTCATGGAAACCTTCCATTTATACAGCATTTTAAAATATAAATGATTTGTAAGATAATATATTACATTTCCAAGATTTTTGTCATTTCTCATTATATTTGCGTGACACCCCTACACATGGCAGCCAACACACTAATGTGTTATGGCATACAGTTTGGAAAGCTCTGCAATAAAGACTTTATTGATCAAGTCAAATCTGCAAAAGTTAAAGCCACACGTGTAGAGGACCAACTATATTGCCTGATAGGGTGGACCATGCTGTTTCTCAAGAAACTGATACCCTAAACCCACTGAAATCAATAAAACTTAGCTCAGAATAGCACTTCAATGAAAAGAATAACAATATAGCCCTCTTCAAACATCCTGAATAAAATAAGTATGTGAGGCTGGGGAACACACTCACCCACATGCTCACCACCACTATCACCAAATATAGAATGCCTTTCTGAAAGGAAAGACACCCTTTGTTTGTGAGGACTCTTAATGCTGACAGCAATGCTGAGTTTTCCATTCCTCCCAAACACAGAAAGCCTCCAGAGAGGCATAATATATAAAAGCAGAGGGAAGTAGGACCAGTGTGCCCCCTTCTCATTTCTCATTTATTTTATTCGGAATGCTTGGGCAGGCTAGTTACATTTGTAACAGTGTGAGTGATGCAGTATAATGCAGACATTACTGGATCCATATATATAGAGTGTAGCTTATAGTGAAAAATGTAGGAAAGAGATAATGAACTCCTTCTATTTGTTATTCTATTCATTTTCTTCACCAGTGTAGCTTCACTGGGGCGGGGGGAGCACAAAGGAGACAGTTTTGAGGAGCTTCTGGTGAACCCAGAATGCAGAATCTTTCTTCACCTGATTTTGACTGAGAAATTATTCCCACTCATGCTTGAATTGCTCAGCTCATGTTCTGACACTCAGTTCTGCTGCCATCATGTCTACTCAGTCCACGAAGGAACTTGCTTCTGCTTGCATTTCATCCAAGTTTAGCAAAAGAGCGACTAAGATTTCTCAACTACTGTTTATACCTGGCTAATAGCTTGCTTGTACTAGTTAATTAAACAATGTTTTTTTGTTATCTGCAGTTTGTTTTCCTACTGTGCAAAATGCAAGAAAAGAAGCACATAAGAGGTTTTTCTCCTGGGTTCACGCAACACTATATATTACGTTATTTCATCACATAATAACTACACTTTCATTTTCCAGATGGAAAAAATGGAATTTTAGAATTCCTCACATAACAGTCGCACCCTTAGTTAACTCACCCAGGTGAATTAATGAAGGGTGTAACTGCCCTTTTGGTGCTATGGGCTTGACTCGGCTACCAAAAGAGTCAAGCCCCATAGCACCAAAGAAAGGGGGAAGTTGAAGGAGTGAAGCTTCACTTGCCTACACATCTGTCCCCTTTCACTTATCAGGCTTCACTTGATCGTTTTAGCTGGTAAATTTTTCATTGTGTAATAGTCACATACCCCTTCTTTTCATCCAAAAAAGGGATTAAGAGTGCAACATTTATACAGTAAAATATGGTATTTTGCATGACCACATTCAGACCATGTGCTGTGGTTTCATTACCAGACTAAGACCCTGGGAGACCAGGGTTTAAATCCCAATTTATTTATTCATTTTCTGGATTTATACTCCACCCTTCTCAACCCTGTAGGATACGCACGGCGACTTACATATATAGGCAACAATTAGAAGCCAAAACACACATAATGAAAACATAAGCATGAAAATAATCATTAAAACATAATAAAACCTTAAAACCAATTATTTACAATCACCCAATCCAAAAGACCAGATGGGAAAGGGGAAAGCTGGAAGCTCCAAGATGATGACTGTAAACCATGGAGGTGGAAACCAAGAACACCATGCGTTGTTGAAGGCTTTCATGACCGGAATCATGCTGTGAGTTGCTGTGAGTTGTCTAGGCTGTACAGCCGTGCTCCAGAAGCACTTCCTCCTGATGTCTTGCCCAGATCCATGATTCAACTGTGGAAACCCACTTGATGATCTTGGGTAAGTCACACCCTCTCACTTCAAAGGTAGCCAGTAGCAAATCCCATCTGAACAAATTTTGCAAAACAAAGCCCAGTAACTGCAGTCCACTTTAAGGTGTTTATGGGTCAGAAATTATTTGAGGGCACACAATAATAATAATAATGTTGCAGTGTATCGTAGAAATCATCGTGAAATCTGGTGATGAAACCAATAGTTATAGCTGTGATGCAAAAGGAATGCTACAAGTACATGACAATAATTGCAGAAACACAGTTGTATCCCAGCACTAGACATATTTGCAAGTTTGATTTTTGCAGATTTGATTATTTGCAGATTTGGTTAAAATGTTCTCTCTAGGTATCTCTATGACCTCCAACAATGGAAAGGTATGATGAGACCCTTCCGCTCATCATACAGCAGGGATGTCCCCTCAGGAAGATAGGGCAGAATACAAATACATTTATTGATTGTTTATGCGATGTTGCCCACAGACTTCATGCAAACCCTGAACAGAATTTCTCTGGCTACCCAAAAACCACAGTGCTCCCCAAAATCTCCCAATTTGGTGATTTTCAAGTGATTTGGATTCCAAAATTGCTGATAGCATACTCTGAACACTCGTAAACATGGCAATTTTCTTCCCCACTCCCTAATAAATGGTTCCATGATTCTATGAACACTCCAAATCCCTTGCTGGAAAAAAACACACTGAAAATGTTTGCAGTGGAATATATATGGGAACTAGAAGAGTTCACTCCACTACTCCACTCATGCACTACTGCTGCATGCTGGGAAGGAGAAATGAAAATTCTCCCCACTTGCTATGCAACTGCCTATCCTTGCTCTACAGCAATGATCCTCAAGCTCTAGTCCATCAGGTGTCTTGGACTTCAACTCCCAAAAGCCTCAGCTACCTTGGTCAATGATCACAGATTCTGATAACTGAAGTCCAAAACACCTTGAAGATCAGAGTTTGGGAAACACTGATCTGTCCTAAGATCGCTGGACTGAGATTTGAGATACGTAGGTTCAAGATCCCCATACAGCCATGAAACTCACTGGCTGACCTTGGCCCAGTCACAGTCTCTTAACCACTTGTAAGAATAAAGTAAGTATGAGAAAACCATGCATAAAATCTTGATCTTAGGGGAAGAAAGGTGAGACCTGAATCTAGCCAACAACCAAATCTACAACAGGTGCTCTGGCTTTAACTGGCACTGAAAAAAATGAAATTGGAATCAAATACGGATACTTTTTCAAACTGATTTCAACATGCCTGAGGCACAACTAATTTAGTGTTCATCCTATAAGTGGTCCAAAAACTTTTGAGAAAGTCATAGATATTGTAGAATTCATATGTGGTATTGAGAATTTCCCTTAGCTTTAAGACTTTGGACAAAGCCCATCAATAAGCCTTATTAGGAAAAAGTTTTGTTTACCAAAAAAGAAAAGAAGGGAAGACAGTGAAATAGGAAATGAAGAAAATGTTTGTAGATACTTACATGGTGATGGCTCATGTTCCTCTGAACTGTATTCAGGTCCCTCCTCCCCTACTCCAGAAGTGACTGAATCTTCGGGTGCAGAAGCAGAACTTGGTGTGCTTGGCCCACTGACAGATCCTGAATCACCATCCTCACTGTTTGAGCCATATCGATCCTGCTGAGCTGTTGTCCCACCTTCAGTGAAGCTTCTGCGTTCTTTCCTGTGCACACGGGAATGAAGCACCATTTGGTGATAGGTGCGGAAAATCTTCCCACATTCAAAGCACTCAGTGGACTTGTTCTGTGATGCCCTTCTGCTTTGCCGTGAAGAAGGTCTGTATTCTAAATCATCTTGGCCAAGGATACAGCTGTCTCCTGACTGCATACTATTGCTTTTCTCTGAACGTCCACTGGCACAGTTCTTCTTCTTCGGATTACTTGAAGAACTGGATGAGTCCTGCTCTTGCTTGCGCTTCTCTTGGCTGACTAGTATATATTCCCTTCTGTCTCGGTCGTAAGTGACATCTGCATCAGCCAGGATTTCATCCCATCCAAAATATTTCACATACTCAGAAGGCTCTGCAACTTTTCCTTTGGTAGCTAGGTGCCAAGCCTGGTAACTATTAACAGGATCAAGCTCAGCTACCCTCTTCCCTGACTGGGGCCTTGGAATGCCATCTACTCCTACAGATGGCCTCAAGTTCAAATACTGGAGGAAAAACTGCTTTGCTATACATGGGTCAAGATCTCCATCCACTAGTTTCTCAGCTCTAGGATCGCCATGGGCTCCTGGAGATCTACAATGTACAGAATTATGTGCTTTTAGGCTTTCCATGTTTGTAAACAGATTTCCACACTTGGTACACACTTCATACAGGGACAAACCAGCCACAATCATCTCTTCTTGAATGACATCATTAATCGTGGCCATAGGCTCTAGTTCATTTTTTGGCTTGTTTTTGCTCCCAGATTTAGGGCCATGGGATTTCATGTGGTTTTTGAGGAACCAGGGCTCTTTAAATTTCCTGCCACAAATATGGCACCCATGGTCAAATGACCCCCGGTGTTTCTTCATGTGAGCCTTGAGAAACCATGTTTGACTGAAGGCCTGTCCACAGACCTCACATGGAAACTCTCCTGCACTTGACTCACTCTTGCTATTCTCAGCATGCACTTTCCCATTGGGAATTTGAGTGGTAATGTGGTCCCGTTCTATATGGTTTAGCAGTGTCTCCTGTTTTAGGGTCATGTAGTTGCACAGTCTACATTTGAAAGGCTTGTGGACCTGATGAATGTGCTGTTCCAATTCCTTTTTCCCTTCAAATTTGTTTTTGCAAAAGGTGCACTGGAAAATACATAACTTACCCTCCTCCCCAACCTGAGCCTCTGCCCTTGTTTCTTTCTTGCTACTTCTGAGCAAGATCTTGCCATCTTCTATGGGTGTGGCTCCATTCAGTATCTTGTTGCAGGCAGAAGTGCTTTTAGTTGGGCTGGTACAACCATCGAGGCCTTCAGAAACAGTGGTCTCACTAAGCTGTGCCTCCCCACCCATCTCCACTTCGCTCTCCTGGCTGATGGTGCCAGTTCTGTGACTCCGGATGTGGATCTTCAAGTTGCCCTTCTGCGAAGCTCGGTGGTCACAATAAGGGCACTTGTATGGCTTCTCCCCTGTGTGCTTCCTCATGTGCTGTGAGAGGGAGCTCTGGAAAGGAAAACTTTTGCCACAGATGCAACAGCTGTGTAAGACACCCCCATCTGCGTCCATGTCGTTATTATGCATTTTGTGAGGACTGGAGGGTCTTCGCAGTTCCATGTTAGGACTTGTAGTACAGTCCATTTGTACTATAGCCACATCAGTCCAAATGTTCAAAATAAGTCTGTTTGGGCGAGGAAACTAGGAGTTTCTGCTGATTGAGACTTTACGTCTTCATTCTTTTTTCTGGGTTTTACCTCCACCAGAAGGCATTTGGGTTACAAGCATTCACTGCTGCTTTTGAGTGAGATGGCAAAAGGAACCTGGAACCAAAACAAAGAATACAACAGAGTATTAAAAAAACCATGCTTTTCACTTAAGAAAAAACTTTATTTTTATCACTCACATTAAGTCTCTATCAAGACTATATTTTATCTGTACCAAATGGTTAATTTATACTGTGTTGTCTCTGAAATTGAAGTCTATATATTCATAAAATTGTTATGCTCAGGAAACTTTATACATACTTCTGGAACAGTAATGTACATGGGAAACAGCATGTGTGCGCCTGTCATTTGTTTTTACTAAAAACAAAAATATGTCTTAAAAAAATCCCACTTCATTTTTTCCTTTCCAAACCAAAAAGGGTCTCATTTCAAGTGAGCACTTCAACTGAATGTCATTTCAAGTGAATAAGCCATTTCTTAAAGAAGCTGTAACATTTTAAGTCTGTGGTTTTATAAACATCTATAATTTCATGAAAAACAGTCCAACTTTTGTTTGCTTAAAGATAAAGGGCTTTTGTAGCATAAGTACTGCACTCCGTCCTTGTTGAAAATGGCATCTAAGGCCTAGCTGTCACTAGTAAATGAAACATCATATTTGTATATAAGAGAAATACAACAAGGTAACTACATAAGTTTTCTAAATAGGCCAATTAAACTGGCAGTCGAACTAATACTGTGCTTAGATAACTGCTAATGCAGACATCGACATCCTTGCTAATGCAAGCAGGATTAGGTGTTGTATTCACAATGAATGAGCTAAACTAAATTAGGTGAAATCCTGCCACATTAAAATCAGTGGGGGATAGTGTTATAATTGAATTCAACAGAGGCAGCATTTTACATTTTCTTCTGCAGCAAACATTTGGCTTTCACAGGGCTCACACAAGATACAAATTGGCACACACTTAGGCTGTTTAAATCCCACTGCAAAGAATTGAGACACTTTATGTCTAGCAGAAACATGATTTCCACTATTTGACAAGTACAATCATGTTCAGCAAAGTTATAGAAGACTGTTTTGAGTTTGTCTCTGTTCTGTTTTTGAAGATGAAAGCAGCTTTTTGCTTAGTTGACTCTCTGAAGAATCCTTGGGCCCCCAGGTATACCATCTGCATGCTGAACGCTTAAGAGGGAGAATTCCCATTTCTGTTTTAAGATAAAACTATTTTCCTGCCCCATCCAACCACTCTCACTAAGAAAATAAAAAAGGGTTATGGTAGTTAGTTAGCAAAAAATCTCTAAGTGTTCTGAAGCAATAGTTCCCAAGCAGAAAGCAAGAATGTGTCAACAGTGAGGAACTTCCAAGTTCTGAGCAAACATCTAGGAAAAACAACATTATTTGCAAATATTGTTTTGAACGTATAGTTGAAGGCTTTCATGGCTGGAATCACTGGGTTGTTGCAGGTCTTTTGGGCTGTATGGAAACATTCTTTCCTGACGTTTCACCTGCATCTGTGGGAAGCATCCTCAAAGGTTGTGGGCCACCTATTCACACCTAGCTCCAACAGACAAGAGTTCTTTCTCCCACCCTGGACCTTTCACAGATATATAAACCCAATTTTCCTAGTTTCCAACAAATCTCACAACCTCTGAGGATGCTTGCTACAGATGCAGGCGAAACGTCAGCAGAGAATATTTCTAGAACATGGCCATATAGCCCAAAAAACCTAAAACAACCCATTATTTTGAACAACAGCTCTCAACATCCCCAGCTAACGTAGCCATTGGATGCCCGAGAGTTCTGAAAGTCACAACCCAAGAGGATAACATTTCCAAGCTCTGCTCTTTAGCTAATATTAAAATGGTATTATGATTAAGTATGCGCTTCATACTTCAGTTTTATGCCACTGAACAGAGGTCAACAATGAGACTTGACTTCAGCCTATAGTGATAACCATTACTTATGTGGCAGAATGTTATCACCATAGTGCATTTAATTAATTTGCTTTAAATGGCATTGTATAATGTAAGCCTTTGTGCTACGCCCAGTTCTGAACAATTAAGTGTCCTGAATTGGCTAGGCAGTCTCGATTAATCCTCTGTTGTCCCACTTTTTCAGCAGTTTTTAAAACATCCCTGTTTCCCACCCTTCCTCTCACATTCCCCCTTTGTCCTCAGATTACCTCAGTTGCTGTAAACTGAGTTCAAAATGCAAAAAAACTTTGCATTCAGTTAGGGCAGAGAGGAGAAGACGGGATGGAATCTTACTGAGAACTTAAATGTCTGCCTTAATATCTGTAAACCAAGAAAGAGACCACTGAAAGAAGGGGGAACACTGATTTGCAATTCGGGGAGATGGCCCTTTAAGGAAGGGACATGTAGCTCAAGAAACCTTAACCGGATAGAGCAACTAATAATGCTTAATTACTTTTTTCTAGACTTCAACTCCTCAAATTGCACAGTCAGGATGATTTATCCCCATTTCAACCATTTCTGGAGCAAGTTCTATACTTGGACCTTTCCACAATACAGCAGCAATAGGGTTCCTTCCACTCTCTGAGGCCCTGATGCAGACACAGTAACAGCAATTATCTTATTTTGAAAACTGTCCTGCTCTAGACTTTATTCTTTTGACTATAGGCCATACTGAGTACATTTTTAATAGTATCTACCAAAGTGAGCTACAGAGCATTTTCCCAGCTGATGAATTAGCTGACATTTATCAAAGAATATGGAATAACCTTAACTTTATATAAAAATGATTTAGTAGCAGGCACACTGAGTATGCCCAGTATTCCCCTGTGCCATTAAACAGCTTCCAGATGTGTTGGACTACTATTCCTACCAGTTCACCCAGCACAGCTCTCGTTCGCTGAGAATGATGATAGAACACTGATAGTGAACACCAACACCAAATTTATCAGTTTTACACATACTATATTCTCAGGATTTGGGAAACTAAATCTTGCAGAATTGAGGTGGTGAAGGCCAAAAAGAAACATTTCTAGGATTTCATTATCCTTAGCTATGAACGTTTTAAGAATCTAGGCATTCATTCACCACCACCTTCTGAAACAGATCACCTTGAAATCATATGAAGGCTGTGAGCAGGGTGGATTTACTAAAGCAGCGAGTTTAAAAATAAACTTTCCATTTCAGTATGAGACTTCCAAGGTTTGCAACAGCAATGTCTTTATCTCACAATGGGAACAACTAAATGTTCTTGACAAGATCGCTGTCTTATATTCTTTCCCTTGGACAAATGTCTAAAAAATTGAACCCCTGATCCTATGCACGTTTGGTAATACTTAAATGTGACGCCTTCAAGGCCACCCAGCGAGTCTAGGGGCTGCTTGAGAATCTGATCCTGGCCTTGTTGTTCCATTTCCAGAACATTTATTGCAGCGTTCCTATTCTAAAATTAAAAAAAACAAACTCTGCACACTTTTAGGGAATGAAAATTGGATGCAAAACTAAAACTCCTACGTGTGGAATGATGAGCGTTTGATTCCCTGCTCTGGCAAATATCCACCAGAAATGCTTTTCTTTGCTCCTTTTATGGATAACTTCATTCACCTTTAGGAGTGCACTTACTTCCAAAGACAACAACACCACTCTGTAATTCTGGAGCAACTAATGCACAGGAGCAGGAAAACGAAGGGGAAGGGCTGCTTGTCTTTAAATAGCAAGCATATCCTTGAATTCACAGGAAATCCTAGCAGTCTGCGTCCTTCAAAGTAAACACAGGCACTAGGAAAAAGTCAGCATGACTTTGCCTTGATTTTTTCCCCTCTAACAAGCCAGTGAAACTAAATTCCATTGGGATTTTTTGGGATTTTTTTTTTTGTAAATCCAAGGCAGAAAAAAAACCTGTGTTCATGATCAACAAAACAGGATTTGTTGTTTCTATCCAAAATTAAAGGAGGTGTTACCGAAATCAGGGAGAGGAAAAGAGAAAAGAGGAAGAGACAAATGCTTTGAAAACAAAACATGGCAAGAACCAAAGATAAGTAAAACACTCATTAAAAACAGCTTGCTTCTGTTTGAAAGGTTACAGCAGACGCCTGTTTTATTTTGCTGTAAATAGAGATTTGCACTTTTTAATATTCTGGGGTTGGGCCAGTGGTTTGAATGTTAAACTTTGTGAAGACATCAGTTCAAAAACTCCACTGAGCCATCAGACTCACTGAGCCTTGAGATGCACCTACACTATATAATTAATGTAACTTGACATCAATTTAATTGCCATAGTCCAAGACTATCCTGGTAGGTATAGTTTTACAAGATCTTTAGCTTTTCCTGGTAAATAGTGCTGGTGCCTCACAAAACTACACATTTCATGATCCTATAGCAATGAGTTAAAGTGTGTTGGACTGCATTAATTCTAGAGATGCATCCTCGGATCAGTCACTCATTCATATTCAGCCAAACTATCACAAGAGATTTTAATGCAGAAGAAGTGAAGAGACAACCATAAACTCATTGGATGGCAAGCAGGATAGAAACAAAATAGAAGAATAATATTCAAACACTGCAAAATTAATACATTATTATTATTATTATTATTATTATTATTATTATTATTATTTACAGAAATGAACATGTCAAGCTACTCTGGGACTTCTGAATTCAGACTGACAGAGTTTTGGAGCACAATACTCTTGACCTCACCATCATGTTAAAAAACCAAGTATGGATTGTCGATGTTGCAATCCCAGGCAATAGCAGGATTGAGGAGAAACAACTGGAAAAGCTGACACAATACAAGGATTTAAAGATCGAACTGCAAAGACTCTGGCGCAAGCCTGTCAAGGTGGTCCCAGTGGTGATCGGCACCCTGGGTACAGTGCCTAAAGACCTTGGCCTGCACTTAAACACAATCAGCGCTGACAAAATTACCATCTATCAGCTGCAAAACACCACCCTACTGGGATCTGCATGCATTATTTGCCAATACATCACATAGTCCTCGACACTTGGGAAGTGTCCAGCAACAACCAGCAGTGTGATTTTGTTTGCTGTGGACTAATCTTGCTTTGTTTCAAATAATAATAATAATAATAATAATAATAATAATAATAATAATAAGAAGAAGA